TTAATGAAACAGCAAAGATAAATAACAAATTGGTGATAATCTTGCGGACAAGAACAGGGGGGGAAATTAAAAATATTAATCTTCGAAAAATTTATATTACTAAAATGTCTTCTATATCCCATTTATAAACATTGCAATCGTTTGGTTATCATTCCTTCGCCGTGTTCGGAGGTCTTTGTTTCAAATCTATTGAATATCTTCATTCAGATTATCGTGGTTTTCTACAGTCCCTGCAGGCCGGGATAGTATTTTATAAGAGGCGATGCCCGTTTCTGAACCCTGTCATTGAACCCTACGCCGCTGACAGAGTCGCCAAGTTAACCACACAAAGATTCGACCTATTAAATTCATATGTTTTAAATAGTTATTAGACTTTAATAGGTTTATTTTAAATAATATTTTGTGTTGTTATAATTCTTAACTATACTTTTACAATAATTGTAATAGCAGATGAAATTTTAATATAAGCGTCCCCTCATCGTTATCAAATTCAATTTTAGCCGACGAATTAAATTATAAAAGCAGACGGATACGACTCCTCAATACGCATCTATTTAACGCACTTCATACATGGGATGAACAATTCTTAGGTACACCACAGAACAGGCCTATTAACTCGCTAATATGATGGCGACCTTAATCTGTTTAAATGTTTCGGTTGCGGGATTTTGTTGAGGTGGATTTAATTTAGGTTTCCGTAACCAGGTACTGTGATTGCCTTTGTATTATAAAATAACAAAACTTGATTCAACATTTGCATGTTTCAAGAGTGTCTGGTGCTGTGTGGACAAGACTGTCTTCTTAACGAGGCTGAGAGACAATCTTGAAAATTATTGGTCTCCCTTCCAACGCTGCAGATCCGTTTGATTAAGTTATAAAGTTTAAAATTTTGTTGACGTTCTAGAAAGAATGTAATTTGTATATGGGATCTAACTATGACTTATGTCAGCGCGATTGGAGGGGTTATAATACTTTGCTCAGTACTCGCTGCTAGAAACATCCTGAGGATTTCTAAACGCGGTTCATCTGTTGATAAATGTAAAAATATAACCCATTCCTTAATGAGTTTCTGATCTTCTGGTGTAAGTATATTCAAGTTTCTCTTAGACCTATAGTTTCATTGGCAAATTGTCATAATAACTACCTGGAACTGCTGAAATATGGAAGGATATTTTGGGTCTTAGTGATATTGTCAGATGTTTAATAAACACAGATCAAAACGTTTTATTTCAGAACTCGATGCTTTGCGAGTAGTAAAAATCTCATTATACAAGGACTTCGTGTGTTTGTCAGAGAACATATTCAACTTCTACAAACTTTGAAATGTGGATATTACTTCAGTTATTTGTTTCCTGTCAAGGAGCCGACTGTTTGAAATTGAACCACGGAAATCTGTCGAAAGCGAAACAATTCTGACGCTCCCTGCCAGGTGCAGTGACTGACTCTATAATATTAATACAATACTTGATGTAGAGGTAACGCTCCATGCTTATGAAGATGGCTGTCTTCTGACTTGTTGCGCCGTGTAGTCTGATAGATGTTTACCGACGTTTCAGAGGTC